TTTTATCGATTTCTCCTTTTGTTTATTGCGATAATTCCCCCTTCTTGGCGTTCCTCACTTTTTCCTCCTTTACGGGTAGTGACCCACACGAGCTAGCCTTTCTGCTCGTCGCATGCCCGCCATACCTCTTATCCCAGGGTTCCTTGTTACACAGGATGATCTCCCGTTTCAACCTGGGTTTCCTCACGTACTTTTTTGTCATAAGCTCTCCCTCCTCGTAACCACACATTCTTGGCGAACCATCTTCATATCCGTTTACTTCAAGCTTCTTTCCTTTGTCTTGATGTTACTCGTCTAATATACACCCGGTAGTCATGCAAGATTCACGACGCAGTGGCATAAATTGTCTTGTAGTTTTACCCTTGAGATCTCTATGCTGTTCAAAACAACAAACATTTGGGCTTTCGAAAATTTTCTTTAAAACAAATTAAAGGTATGATTAAAAACTTTGTATAAAGTTTTTTTTTTTTTATTAAGAGTAATAGAGCAGAGGATTCGTTTAAATTAATTTTTAAAAAATAGAATGACATGAAATAACTTTTAAAGCCAAAAACCACGGGTCTTCAACGAAAATCGAATCCTCCGTTACTGTTCTTTCAAGATATTCGTGGGACTGACCAGACAATTCGAACACAGAGGAGAGTAATGTCACCCGACGGGCAATAACTCTAGTTCGTTCTGGTACAAAGTTTTGGACTTCTTCTTAGGCGTTCGGGGTATGGCGATGTCACTTTGTAAATTTCCTCCTAAAACCCGGGATGCTTTAGGATTATGAAGATTTCGCCTCACCAGGACACCAGTTGTTCCCCCTTGTCCAGTCAGGCAATAGCTTGCCTATAGCTCTTTAATGTCCCGTCCGTGTTTTGTTACACTGCAGAGGTCGACCAAAGGTACTTGAACTTGATTGCCTTGGTGATGCCTCAGCTTGCATGCCAATGCTGCTGCTGTCATCTTCTATGTTGCTAGGCATATATTTAGCATTGCTTGTGAAATTCTCATGCCGTTTCCTCCTGTGCTTTCTTCCATTTATCATAATTCCCCTTCGTTTCGACTTCCCTCTCTTCCTGCTCTGGATTTGTTACTACGGAAGACACACACACACACACACACACACACACACACACACACACACACACACACACACACACACACACACACACACACACGCACGCACGCACGCACGCACGCAGATACATATAGATAGACAGATAGATATATAGATAGATAAACAGGTAGACAGAGACAGGGAGAGAGATAGACAAATAGCTGGATAGATATGTACTCAATTTGTATTTGTGCATACATAACGCATCAAGATTGTTTATAAAAGGAATATTTGCCTTTACTCACCCCCCCCCCCTACGCATGCCCTCTCCACTACAGAGAACCCTGGAGCGGGCGGGCGTCGTGGAGGTGGGCATGCTCAGTGCCAACTACTCCGCCGCCACGTCGGCGCTTTGTGCCCCTCTTGTCCCCACCAAGCTCGTGTGCGACGCCATCCGAATGCTTGCGCTCGGCCCCAACTCCGGCTACGTCGATAAGGTTACGCCTTTGCTTTGTTCGTTTTTTATATATATTTTCTGTTCTTCTTTTTTTCTTTCTTTGGTCTCATTTAATACTTCGTTATATTTTTTGTTGTTGTTGTTCATTTACTTATTCAAGTAGCTATCTAGTTTGTTTTTTGTTTAGTATTTTTATCTCAATGGCTTTCAAGTAATTTAAAGGAAATCGTAAAGATATAATGATAAGGTTATTTAATGCTATCTATTTAACCGTCATTATCTGTAGTATTTGCTAGTTTTTTTTTGTGAAAGTGACGTTCAAAATGACACGTTCGACACCAATCAACAAATACAAAACCCGACATGAACTTACTTATTTTTTCCTCCTATTCTTAACATAGACATTACCCTCGTCACAGTCACAGCAACGAAAAGGGAGATACCTTAGAGAGAAAAAAGGCATATGTAAAAAATGTGTACATCCATTGCAACTTTTTTCTTGCAGGCGTACCAACCCGTGATCTTGGCCCATATCCCGGCTGGAATGTCCCTGAATGTCCTAAAACATTTCCAACAGTTTCACACGTCGCGTGAGTACAGTTAGTGTGGACGGGCAAATGACCAGGGGAGTAGGGGGGTTAAATACTGTGTGATTATTCTTATGACGCTGTGATTCTCTCTCTCTCTCTCTCTCTCTCTCTCTCTCTCTCTCTCTCTCTCTCTCTCTCTCTCTCTCTCTCTCTCTCTCTCTCTCTCTCTCTCGCTCTCTCTCTCTCTCTCTCTCTCTCTCTCTCTCTCTCTCTCTCTCTGCCTGTCTCTCTCTGTCTCTCTCTCTCTGTTTCTCTCTCTCTCTCTCTCTCCTCTCTCTCTCTCTCTCTCTCTCTCTCTCTCTCTCTCTCTCTCTCTCTCTCTCTCTCTCTCTCTCTCTCTCTCTCTGTCTCTCTCTTTCTCTGTCTCTCTCTGTCTGTCTGTCCCTCTGTCTCTCTCTCTCTCTGCCT